ATTATGGGCCTCAGCCAAGTATGCCTGTCGAGTTTTTAAATCGGCTAGTCCTAATGGGGAATTAAGTATGAATTCATGTTTTTGCAAGGAAAATGGGTTAAAAAAAATGGGCAAAATAGGATGAAAAAAATCCTGGATGAGATGGAAATGCATGACTAAGCATGACGCGACAAATGAACGGAAAGGGACAAATTTAATACAATATAATTATACAGTGGCAGACTGTGAACTGTGCACACCACAACAATCCTTTGCATAGGGTTGATGAAACTATTCCCGCTGCCACAGTACAACCTCTTTCCCAGCTGATAACCAGTTATGCCATCAATTCAATTATGTAGCACACTCAAAAGCCCATGGATTTGCTCCAGAATGATGGCAGGAGCTCGATTGTGATGGACAACTGGAAAGGCAACCAACCATACCTGGTCGGGTTAATTCTTGATTGAAAAGTTGGCTTGGTAGGTTACCAAGGAATAATATCCCGTGGACTCCATCACTCGTTCTGTAGGACTACCTCCAGGTCACAGTCCTCAATATCCGTCCCACTGTGCCATGCAAAGTACTTGATTACTGCGACAAAAATGGGATCAAAATTCTCAGAGAGCGCAGACCTGTGCCTCGTGATCTGGCCTTGACTAATAGCCGCACAATCAGGGCGGAAAGATATCTTTTCAGCGCCGACCGTCGATATAAATGGAGGAGCAGTCTTTCCCCAGTGTGAGTGCTTTAAAGGCATCGCGCTCCGCTCCTTCTTGCCTACGCCTCTACAGACCTGAGCCTAGCTGTGACTGTCCTCGTTTTATCATCTCTGCTTCGACTCGTCCACTTTTCATCTGCCCGTGGTCAGGGACCCCGAGTGGGTAACCACACACTTCATCAGGGGGTCACCCCAAATAATGTCATGTCTGTTCAGCAGAGCAAGGACAGGACTATAGGACAACAAAAATAAAGTGCAGGGTTTTTTGGAGGAAGTTGAGGAGGAGAGGGGACAAAACTGCATTGATCCACTATCAAACACACAAGAACATTCCAAGAAGACGCTGACATATTGGATTTGGCTGGACTCAAAACCACAATCTGGTTGCTTCTGAAATATCTGCCCGCATTTATGGTTAAACAGACTGTACGGGCCCCTTGTGTAATGCGAGGCATGAAAACCTTTTGGCAGGCAGGCCAGATGCCAGCCCTACAATTATGTAAGATCTAAAACAAATGGACCCTTTTAATTTGACCGAGGTTAGTTAAAAGAGGTGCCATTACCGCTGACAAGCATACTGGTGGTTATGTTGGGCTGAGAACCACGAGCCGTTTGTAATGGGGCAGCCAATGAGAGAACATGTGTTGAATGATTACAGAGCTCATGGGTGCCCTCACGCGCTCTCCGCCCATTAACCTGCAAGATGGCTGCCAGTCAAGAAGGCCATGGGGACCATGCAGCAGCAGGCTGCAGTGGTAGCTCAGCAAGACATTACAACAGTTGACTATTTCCTTTTTTTAACATCCAAATCAATTAATAGGAAAAAAAACTATAGAACAAATGGTGTATGGGATGTAACTACAGGTTAATGGATATGGAGGCTACTATTTTACTTAGCGGGGGCTGGTCTGGCCTGTTCTCCTCCAACAATTGATGGCTTAAATTTAAAATGGACATTATTTTAGGGGCTAAAGAACATCTCAGAAGGACTTAATCTCCCCTAAAATTGGCCTAGCTATGCCCTTGGTGTATGGTACATAATTAGCAGCTCTTTAAAATAACTTTGTTGGCAAATAAATTTCAATTCTGTACCCAAGGAGTAGTGAAAATTTACCTGAAATTATAGCTCGTGGCATTACAGAGTATTTAGCGCCAGCCACGATAATACATCTGAAGAACTTTGATCCATGTTTGCAGGACCGATAATGAGCAGGTCAATTTTATTTTTGTTCTGTACTTTTTTTTTTGCCATGTTTAACTTCAGGAGATACAGACGGCACTAGATGACAAAAGTAAAAAAATGGCATCAGAAGTAATTCAAAATGCCAGTCCAATCACGCGATTCGGATCAAAGTTATTTCCTTCCCTACTGGCAGCGGGAAAATGCCGCTGAATCCCAGCCTGTAAGAATGAATAATGTATGACTACGTCTGAAAACATCAAGGACTACTCGAGCAGGCCCCACACCATACTTTCCTATGCATAAAGAGCAGGAGTTTGTGTTCATGCGTTTTTGTTGAGTGCTGGCAATGCCAACCCTTACATTTCACCTCATTTACAATGACCTCATTCTTAACTCGACAGAAAACTAAAAAATTTAGTTGTCGGCACCCTGTACGATCAGTAAAGATTAATTATTGAGGAATGGTAACCACAAAAAATTGTGTAAATGTATTATACAGAATAAGTTTAACAAGTAATATTATTAGTGTTTACGCAGTTCTTTTCAAAAATGCTAAGTTTTGTCCTCCCGTCGAACACCTGATTTGCACTTGATAGGAATTTGACATTTTTGGCTCGAGAACGATTACAAGGAAATCTCTGCGTCAACGGTAGAAGCAGAAGCAGCCTGATGATTGCTGACCAATAGGATCCTTCGATTCTACTAAAAGGAGGATATAGTGACATGACCTTCATGGGAGATGTACAGAAGGTACAAAATCAGAAGGAAATCCATCTCACGCTCAAAACTGTGGCTCCAATCTCGAGTCAGAAGGAAGATTATCAGGGTCCTCATAAAGGCAGCCGTCTGTGGTTCCCCAGGTGTCCTGCTCTGTACAAGACCCTGAATGAGTATTTGCGCCCCTCCCGATTTTTTCCACATATTTTTTTTTTATATTCACCGCACTAAAAGGTTTCAGATCACCATACGAAATGTAATACAGGGCAAGGAAAACATGAGAAAACACAACATACAGTTCTTAAATAATTATTTCATTGATGGAAGGAAAAAGGTAATTAAACACCTACCTATATGGCCTGTGATTAAAAAATAATAATAATCGCCCCTAAACTTGATATCTGGTTATGTCATCTTCAGAAGCCACAATTGCAACCAAATGCTTTCGATAACAGATCAGCCTTTCACATGGCAGTGGAGGAATTAAGAGACTTCAGGTACTGCATTACAGACGGGTTACAGCTCTAATCCCCCACCATCACTGCTGATTACACAGGATCAGGTGGCAGCAATTACTTCACTTCAGAATGGGGAAATGTTTATGGCTCAATGCTAACCAACTGTAAACTCAATGACTGAACGCTCCAATATCTATCCCTTCAGTTGCACACCCAGGCTGACAGTAAAACATCGAGAATGCGGTCGCGCTCGTCTTGGGGACGGTTACTTGAATATTAAAATATCTGCTCATAACTCGATGCGCGACATCAATAGAAGACGGACTGCTCTCCGGGGCCGTCTCTCGGTCGTGAAAAATGCAGAGTTTAAACATTAAAAAAAAACGGGGGCTGGCAGGATACAGACACAAAGGGAAATTAGCAGGGCCTTTAGCATGCCCAAGCCAGTCTGGCTGTGAGCGTAGCGTACCATACGCGCACAAGCCAAGGGAACTTGAAAGCGCCCCGTGGAGTTTTAAGTCATCTTGGCACAAGACCAGGGTATTATTTGTTCCATTTGCCTAAACCCCCCCCTCCACCTCCCGATTTCTCATCTCAGTTTTCCCGGACAGCTGGCTAGCTCCGGGCTCCTATTTTTTTTCCTTCGCGCCACCGTTCCCCCGCTGCGCGGCATTTCACAAGACGCTCCCGATTAAAGGCACCAGCCCGAGAGGAGCGACCGCGTTCAACGCCGCGCCACATGGCCCCTTCGACGCGAAGCCGAAGGAACTCCCCTCGCGCGACATCTACCAGTCGTGTCAAATAAACCGCCAGTCCGCCGTTCGTTCATTACCGTCAAACTTCGAGCGAACAAAAGCCGCTGTGCTGCGTTTACAGACCCTGTGGCTCCAGTTGAAAAAACAATAAAAAGATTGAATTTACACGACACTGTGCATCCCTAGCCAGCATAACACACCAGTTAACATTCATTTGCAATGGAAACCAATGGATTTATTTCACAGGTCATTAAATTTATGTCACGGCCACATGCTCATCGGCCAGATTGGGTTTGCCAAATCAAATGGGCGAATCCTTGTTGCGCCATAAGCTGGGTCATTTTTGGTCATCATAACAGACTTCAGAAGGCAAGCTCACAGAATGCGGGCAAGAGATATATGAACAGAAAGGACAACACAACAGAAAAAAAAAATTCAAAATCATTACACAAATTGCCACCACTGTCCACCAGATAAGCAAACCTGAATCTCTCCATTCACATGACAGATTCATTTCTTTGGCAAAAAGTCGCATGCTACAGCACTCCATGACCAGGAAGGAACTATAGGCTGGCAGCGCAACGGGGGGGTGGTGGTGTGGTGTGTGCTTACTGACTCATAGTTTGTCCAAAAAAAATTTTTTAGTACTACCAATATTGAACACATCCTTTCCGGCATATTTGTGGCACTCGGTGCAGAACTATGCAACAGTGAAATTAGCAATCTTAACAACAGATCATTTCCCAAATGAAAAAATGAAATGCCAATACCGAACGTGGCAATTAAATTACAATCCCCATCACCTTAAAATAGCTGAAAACCCTATTAAATCCAACAGTTTTATGGAAAAAAATGGACTGCAGACCGACCCAACTCCCACAACTGCCTAAGCCAGGCGTCTCAAACTCAAATCCTCCAGAGCCGCAATCATCTGGGTTTTGGCTTGCTCCTGCTCTTCAGCGCTTACCTTACATCACTGATTGGCTCAGGACACCTTGTTTACGAGGCCTGACTATGCAGCTGACTGAATGAAAATGCCCCCCAAAAATAAATACAATAAATAAATAAATAAATAAATAAATAAATCGATAACACTGAAGCCCTGCAAGGACTGGACTCAAATTCCCATGAAACTGTGTGCAGTGAAGGTCCAAATTCAGAATCCACAGCATACCCTGATCTTGTTATGGCTGCACTGGGACTTGAATCAGCAACCTTCTGTGTCTCAGTCTGATACATTAACCACTGGGCTATACATCCCCCCCCACCAGTGCTCTTCAGCTTTTGACATCCTCTGCCTGTAGTCTGGCCCGAACAACCCCTGCTGCCATGTTCTCCTTGTCCCGTTCTGCTATATGACGGCAGGCAGAGACCTGTTTTCCGAGCTGCGGTTTGGGTCAGGAGACCTGGAGTGTGTGCAAGGCTGGAGCCGCTAATTAATGCTGACGTACTCCTGCACCGTTCAGGCAAAGGTCAGGCCGCAATCACAGCCGCTAGCAGGTAACGTCTGGCATGGACTACAAGACCTCAACCCCCACACAGGTCCTCTACCCTCAATGAGACGAGCTTAAAATTTCTAACCACAAGCTGCGAGTAATTGTATTTTGAGACAAAAGATAAAAAACTAAACCAACAAGCTTTAACGGACACAAATTTGAAAAGGGACTGACGCAGAGGACGCTCGTTAGAGGTGAAATTAAATCCTGAGTCGACACATTCTGGAGCGCGGCGTAGGTACAATAAAATGATTCACGGGGCAGACTTCAAACACGGCTGGCACGGCTTCGTGTTTTCTCTGTCCAAGAGCAATTATACATGACAAACAGACAAGCCAGAGCCCATAATGGAGCGACCCCAGTCCATTAAGAGGGATGACAAAACGAGATGGGAGCCAATTAAATACATACATCGGAGAAGAAGGTGTGTGGCGAGTGAGCAATTTCATTCCGGCATCATGAATAAAGAAAGAACAATCAGTTCGGCGATGACCTTCTCATGTACACTACATGACCACAAGCACTTGGACATATTGGTCTTAGGTCTGTCCTCAGACTTCCACTACTCCAAGCTAGCTTACAATGACATTTCAAATGATTCCTGGCTTCCACAACGTATAAGAATGTCCCACATCAGCACAAAAATTGCCCCAAACGAGAGGAAATGACCACACACGGGTGATCAAGAATGATGCAGAATATCTTGGCCAGTAGTGAACACTGACCTCAACTCTCAGTAAGCATAATTGGGATCAAATGGAAAGCAGACTTCAAGCCAGACAACCCACTCACCAAACATGGCTGCCCAACCTGACTAATGTTTTTTTCTTAATGGAATATAGGCAAAACTCTAAAGCTATATTCTGACATCTAGTAGAAAGCTTTCTCATAGAAGTAAAGGCTGTTGGAGCAGCCCAGGGGGACCAACCCAATACTTATGACTTTGTAATAACGCAAGTGGGTGCACACATACTTTTTTCCATGTTGCATATATTCTGCGGATTAGCTATTCAGCACCTCTGACACAATGACAAGGGCTAATAGCCAGCAAGCTTCCTGAATCTCACCGCTATCCCAGCCAAAATACCCACTCAATTTGTGTAAAGCACGGCTGCCCAATCCAGTTCCTGGAGATCTACAATCCCACAGGCTTTCACCACGATGTTAACAGAGCACATCTTGATCAACAACCAGAAAGTCTTACTGAGCCGTTAACCCTTAAAGTGCTAATCACTGCTAAAGTCGCACAAAGCGCAAAATATATGAGGCAAAATTTCAGATTTATGCCTTCAAAAGGTTGATTAACTTTTGCAGGGAAAGGGTATGTAAAAATTAAGCACTTTAAGGGTTAATCAGTGAAGTCAAGTATGCCAGTTAAGAGTTGCAATGAAACCTACAGGATAGTAGATGCCCAATGGATTGGGCAGCCATGATATGGGGTCATGGTACAGTGTCACATCAACACAGGTAAAATGAAAGGGACGAGTGCAACAGGGGTTTTGAGGCTTGCAAGTGCGTCTGTGCTCTGTGGGAACTTCCAGGGGAAAACATTTCTGAAGAGATCCCACATTGCAGGGGATTTCTCAGCTCGATACTTTTTAGCCGCACAAAAAAAACAATCGCAACAAGAACTGAGCCGTGCGAGCTTAGGTTTATCCATACCTTAAGCGCCGTAAATCCAGGTTTTGGCCGCAGACCACTTAAGTAAGGTTTTCGTTGTTTAACAGTCTAACCAGCTGGTAATTAAGCCTTGAATTAAGACTTCAATAATAACCAAAAAGTTGAAGTATGTCACAATCTAAACAAACGTAAGGTAAAATGGATTTTAAATTTCTCTCATTAGACGTGAGGAGGAAAAAAAAAAAAAAAAAAAAAAAGGGGCAAAGGGCAAAAATGATCTCATAGTTGTCAAAACGTCCCTGAAAATACACGGCCGGGGGCAAATTACGTCCCTTGATTTATCAATATTTTGTCAATTATCCCAAAAGCCAGGGTGTGATTAATCACAGAAATTATTTTCGAGTCAAGAAGCAGTCATGACAAAACTGTTGAAAAATTTCGCACATCACAATCCTCATCGTGAGCCCTTTTAAAGGCTTACTTTTTCCTATTTTCCAACAAATTCACTTTTTTGTAAATTATCCCAGTTTCTTTTGATCAAAAGCGACAAAACTCATCAATATTGCTGCAAACAAAGCAACATCCAATAAATAATATGGCTCTATTTAAGAATATCATTCCACGAGATAACACTACTCCATTTAAAAAGCAACAGGCCAGTCAAAGAAACTGCACTAGCAATAACCGTAAAAAAGTCCAAAATTACACAAACAACATTACCAAATGCAGAAAACAGTGGAAAATAATGCTACAAAGCGACATCTAAAAAGGAACACAAGATTTTACCAAAAAAAGAGCCATCAGATGGCGACATATCCTCCCTGCCCCCGTAAAATTTGAAATTTGAAATGTGAAAAAATATTGAAATACCAAAAAAGCAGTATCACGGCATATGGTTGACGGGTCTTTCACACGTCCTAAATAATCTTGCCAAGTTTCATGATGACACATGATGGCTCAGAGAGTGGAAGTGATGGTGAAATGTGATTGGCTGATAATGGCCATCTCGTTCCAGAAATAACCTTATCCTTCTAGATTTCCACAGGGCCCTTCACCAAGATGAAGCATACAAAAAAATTTAAGTTGACTGGGCAATTGATTTTGGAGTGATGACTACGTTTGCTCTAACGCCACGTATTGACAAATTCACACCAGATTTGGAAGGCTTAAAGGGCATCTAAAGTCGATTCCCATAGTTTTTGTTTATCGGCCTACCTAGCGAGCCGCACCTGCGCAAACAAACCTAAATAGAGGGATTTATCTACGCATGTACACAAAACATTGGTTTATATGAATGAAATTAGTCATGTGACAATGCAAGATGTCAAGAAAAGCAAGTGATTTGTTTGTAAACATTGGACGTTCAGTGTCCCGTCTGAGGATCGACTTTAGATGCCTTTAAGTCCAATGGCCAGTAGATCAAGGATCTCAAGTTAGTCAGTTGCATTCATGAGTTAAAGCTCATTTTATCAATAGAGGCCACACCCACAAAATTCATTGCGTTACTGCTCCCACTTCTTTTAGTGGTGTGATGTTGTGTACATAGCATTAGAAGATTCTGGTCTGAAGATGTTCAGTACCATATTTCATGCAAACAGGTGGCACCATAAGGTAGGAGACTGAGCTTAAAGGTTATACAAAAACAAAAAAAAATAATCAAGATGGTGGAAAATGAACAATAAAGCAAATGGGCAAGACTTGTATGGCTAGATTTGTGTGGACCCACAGGATCCAAAAGAAAAGAATTTTGTATCTGAACGTACGTTTCAAAACTTATTGGCCAATAAATAAAGTTTACCATTATGGCACCATGTTGCGGTCAATTGATATCAGAATTAAAAAAGGCAAAAGGCAAAACTCCAGCACTTGTTTGTTGCTTGTAGAAAGTTTACTACGGTTCTTCAGTCATGGTCTGGAAACAAAAATGATTGCAGGACCATAACTGATTTCCATTTCCTCCCATATTACGAACCAAGGAGATGCCAAAAATGCAAAGCTATTTCGCCATATGCAGTGCTTAGCATGTAGCCGATGCAGAATGCAGTAGGCCAGGGGTTCTCAACCGTATCCAGAGACGGCATTTCTGGGTGCAGGCCTTCGCTCAAATTATGCAGTTACGCCCCTGAATCTACAAATTAACCCCGAAACTCAAAGCTTATGACCTTGATTAGTGGAATCAGGTGCGTAAATGACTGGCTGGAATAAAGTCAGCACCCACACCGGCCACATCTGGATAAGGTTGAGAACCGTGGCAATCGGCCAATACAAACAGAAGGAGTTGATGTCGCTCGCTCACACTGTGACATGACTGTTGAACGTGAATGAGCCCCACGCTGAGGGGTTTGGGGAGGGGCGGGGGGGTTTGGCTGGTTAACAGGGCCTCGGCGGAGTCTGTGGAGACAAGGGGGGGGAGGTGGGGGAGGGGTGGGCCCAATGCGGCCCGTCACACGCCATAGCGACAAATCCATCACTCACAGGCCCCTAATTCAGCCTGGGAAATGCATTCCAAAATCAGCCTGCCTATTTTTCTTTGTCCTCTTCCTCCCTACCCCCGACTCTTTCCCCGACTGTAGACTCCATTACGGTCTCCATCATCCCCGAATTTCTGCACAGGAATGAGGATGTGGAATCAGCATTTAAAGCAGCCAGCTCAAGCTTTAAACCCTACCCATTTTTTTTTTTTTTTTTTTTTTTTGCAGACCACCTTCTAAGCTAGTTGTTCATAAGCCATCACTCCTCAGAGAACTTTCATGTCATAAAAAAAAAAAAAAATGCACACAATAGTCCATCTCTAGACTGACAAGTCATCACGGCAGTTTAAAATTTACAGCCGTAGCGCACCGTATTTTGGATATATTCGTAACCCGAGACAGCACTGGGATTCACAGCCCTATTAGAAGCAGTGGAATTGTATTTCAGAAACACAGGCCGGTATCCTTAGCAGTCAATGAAATATTGGAGGTTTTCACTGATATGCCACGGGGAACTGCACCAATTTATGACTGAACGCTCGTTCTGTCATGAAAATGAATCCCTTCCCTTATTTTGTAAAATGCCTGAACAACACAAGTGAACCTTAAGAGAGTTATTTTAAACAGGGCTTCGGGGACTTTTAAGTAGTGGCTGAATTTCACTAAAAACCAC